CCAAACACTATTATACACCAAGAACCACTAAAATATGCATCTTCCTTGCCCGGCTTCCTTAAATATATTCTAAGAAAATTACCAAAAGATGAAAAAAATCTATAGGTTTGAAAAAATATTCACTCCAATGATTCACTACACTGGAAAAAATGTCCCACAAACCTACAGAGGTTTGTTTGTTTTGATTTACCTATATTCATTTTTACCCTGATTCATTCCTTCATTCCACAAAGGATTTGAGATGGCGTACAAGAATATATAACAATTCATTATAAGTGTGTAAAATATAGATCAAAAAGAAAGCAATTTAAATATGCCAACCAGGTAAGGCCCAACAAGCCAGACCCTACAGCTGCACATCAGAGTTTGTTCTGAGTTTCAAGAAGCCAAGGTAAAAAAAAAAACGAAGTGGCCATTAAATAATTCTTACTAGAGTAAAGGAGAAAACATAGTTCTCCATAGAAAACAAAGAATCGATAAGAGATGGCAGAACTTCTGGATGATGAGTGTAGGCAGACATTTAAAAAAGAATAAAGATTTTATAAGAAAAACATGATAGAGTTAAGGAAAAGAAAAAAAGTTGTATGTATACTCTAACTGAAGTGATATAAAAACATAGTATAGTATATAGTATATATTGAGTTCTTTGACTGCAATGACCATATTATACTCAATATAGAAAAGAACTAATGAATATAAAGTATTTTGTGATGAAGACCCCATCATGCCACATCTTAAATAGCAAGGCTGATTATAGTTGTCAAAACCAACAGGACTTTTTCAACCCACAATTTCATTTTCCCACTCCATATATGTTTCTGATTCTTCCTTAAGGCTCCGAAGACATTAGCTACAAAGAAGCATTACTGTTACTCCCAGATACAAAATCATATAGTACAGCATTTTAAAAAATGCTTTACTCATGTTGGAAAAACCAAAAACAGATCCTACATAGTTCAAATTTTGAAAAGAGAGCAACTAGAAATCCCCAAACTTAAGACCACAAAACTGTTACAAAATTTTTATAGACTCAACTTCTTAACATTATGAAATCATACCACAACCTGAGAGATTCCATGCTATCAAAAGCTGTAACATTTGTCCCTTAATTCAGTTCCTATTTCTTGACGTTTTCTTGCTATTCAAATAGCAAGTAACTCCAACCAAAATTTCCCCTTTTAATATAGGAAGTAGTCTTCAAAGCAGAACTTGGGACTTTCATTGTGGCTACTTTTTAAAGAGGATATGTGTCCTAAAACATACTAATCAGAAGTTGACAGAGAGCCTTTTAAATTAAGGACTCTTAACATACAAATGTAAACATGGAAATCAGGCATGATACTGTTACTATATTGCATTCAAAAAATGGTACTAAACAGAAAAATTGCACCCATCCCTCCTCTATTATAAATATTATCATGTGGCCTTAAATAAGTGTTTATTACAGATGTTAGGAACACAAAAAAGACATTCAAAACATTTTAAAAGTTTAGGACAATACAAATAGATGTTGCATTACAGTAACTAACAAAAATCACGATTTATTCTTTCAAAACACTGACAGATTTAAGATTAAGTGTCCTGGATATTCTGTTGCCTATCACACAAAAAAGAATTCATAACTCTTTTACATACACCGGTTTATATCTGTTTTCATCTTTTTTTAAAAGTTTATTTATTTTGAGAGAGAGAGCATGAGTGAGGTGGGAGCAGAGAGAGACAGAAAGAGAGAATCCCAAGCAGGCTCCACACCATCAGTGCAGAGCCCAATGGAGGGCTCAATCTTGCAAACCATGAGATCATGACCTGAGCCAATGTCAAGAGCCGGATGTTTAACTGACTGAGCCACCCAGGTACCTGTTTTCATTTTGTAAAAAACATATTCCGAGTCCTGGTTTTCCAAAAACGTAGGGCACTGGTGATACTTAAAGATTATCTCCTGTCAGAGACATAGGCCAAAGCCTACAAACTTTAAGTTATAAAATGAATAAATTTTTAGGATCTCATGTATCACATGGTGATTTATAGTTAATAATATTGCAATGTGCACTTGGATTTTTAAGAGATTAAATCTTAAGCATTCTCACCATAAAAATAAAAATGTTTTAAAAACCCATGATTCTCAGGTGATGGATGTGTTAATTTGATGGTGGGAATCCTTTTGCAATGTATACGTATATCAAGTCATCACATTGTACATTTGAAATATATACCATTTTGTCAATTATACCTCAGTAAATCAGGGAGGGCAAAAATAAATAAATAAAAAGATTACCTCTTACCACCACTTTTTTTAAAAATAAGGGGTTTTGACTCATTTAGAGATTGGAGGGAGAGAAAACCTAAGAGAATAAAATGAAAAGACAATCAAACCATTTTCACCCCCTAACTTTTTTTCAAATACCTAAGTGTGGTAAAATAAAGCCTTGGAAGAACATTTTAATATACACTTAGATTTCATCTTATGCCCAGTTAAAGCTTAAAGAAAAAAAAAAAAAAACAGAAGGAAGAGAGAAGAGAAAGCTATCAGATGGAAAAGAGAAAAAGACTCCAAGGTATCAAAGGAAAAGGGCAGAAGCATTAACAAAAGACAACTCATCAGAGCCTCAGCTCATAGGACAAGAGATTTAGTGTTACCAGCTTTATGAATCTGAATGGTCAATTTTGACTAACCACAGTTGTTAAGTTCTTTGTAACTATTAGTTAGACACCAAGATTTATTCCAAAATAGGATAGCAAACTCCCAAGGGGAGAAATTCTTGATGGGATATTATATTAGTAACAAAATAAAGTTTCCAGATCAACTTTAGCTCAAAGACCACATCTACTTGAAGAATTTCCTCATCCCTTGCCTGGAGAATTAGCAATTATTTTTTAAATGATACGTTATTTTTTTAATTACTTTAAATTAGGATGGAAAACTCTAGTAATCAGTACTTCTCAGAGAGAACTGAGAAGAAAGATACCACCCAGCATGATAATTTCAAGAGTTGGGTATGACTGACTCACTGGACTGGATAACAAATCTTAATTAAGAGACTATTTTGTTTATATTTACTAGAAAGGAACAGGAAGCAGGTTTTTGACATTTTAGTAATAAAAGGAATAAAGTGTATGTGAAAAAAATTAGTAATTTATTCCATGTAAGTACTTTTGTGAAAAAAGTAGCAGTGTCTCCTCTGAATGCAAGAAAGATGCTTTAAGGTAATTCTTCCTATAATATCTCCCTTATCATCGGAACAGATTACTTAATGTATAAAAGGATTCTTTCTAGATAAGAAGTTCCTTTCTAGGTCTTCACCCAAAATTTGGTACTCTTCAGGAATCAAGAGGAAAATACAGTAAGTAGAACAATGAAGTTCATTCTGTCAACTGTGCCTTCTTCAGTCTGGTTCTAAAATATGATATAATATCTGATATGAAAACACAATCAAGTTATAATTAAAATATCTCCAATAGCTAATTTTTCATCTTCTTTAAATAGAAAGTGCTCAACTCTTGAAATGTACCAAAAGCTTGCAACTGCCACAAGACTGTTTGTCTAGAGAAGTGGTACTCAGCAATGCGATTCCAGTAATATTATTTGTTAGCTCTCTAAGACCTTATATTTCTGAATAATCTATTCTATTCCAATCCATTCCATTTTTTTCTATTCTAAGTAGGCTCTACATACAATGTGGGGCTTGAACTCACAACCCTAAGATCAAGAGTTAAACACTCTGAGCCAGTCAGGCACCCACCCCCCTTAAATTTCTATAGTAGAATCACAGAAGTCATTCAATATATTCAATGTGAACAAAGGAAAAATAGAAGCTTCTATGTATCTACAAGCCTAAAAGTACAAAGACAAAACACATGGCTCATTCTGTCTCACTGTAATTGGCTTCTGTTACCAAACATCCACTGGCTCCCTTCTATGACATCTGCTTAAATAGCCATGTCAGTTCTCCTTGAATTCTACAATGATTGAACTCCAGATTCCAAGTGATTCAAGAGTTAGCTCTATTAGGCCATTCCAGAATGCTAGAGGGAGCAGTCAGTTATCACACTCCAGGCCTGGTAGTCAGTGAAGGTTATCCACCACGAATTCCTGTCCTTGACACCAGGTGTCACTATGTAGCCTTAAAGGTTGATGTATGAAGAACTGCGGGCCACCTCTCACTCCCAAAGATTCTGGAAGTTTACAGAGCTGGGAGGGAAAACTGGAGAGCTCCTCTGTGGGCCCAAATCAAACACGAAAATAGGCCATGAAGTTTCTCCCCATTTCTTTTTCTAATTTTGACTTAATTAGGTCCACTTTCATTAGCCAAAAAGAGAAATCATCCTTGGAGTTTGAAACAAGTTATTTTTAAATCAAAACTAAGATGAAATTGTACCTAAAAATGAAATAATTCTGAAAAATGATGTTCCATTCCTCTGAACTCCCTCAGTTTTCCACTAGAAAAAGAGAACTCAATAATTTTTTTTTTTTTTTTAAGTAAACTCTGTGCCCAAAGTGGGCTTTGAACTCATGACCCCGAGATCAAGAGTCACATGCTCTACCAACTAGGTCAGCCAGGTGCCTCTAGAAGTCAGTAATTCTATTACACACACTTCAGAGCTAGAGTTTTTGTCACATTTTTAAATTTCAAAGCAATACAGAAAGCAATGGGACTTTTGTGCAACTGATCAAAATCAGAAGAAATGATCCACAGGCACACATACATCAGAATCCTGCATAATGGATATAGTATAATGATAACTACAAACAAAGGCTCAAAGCTAAATTGAAGCAGAGAGTCTTAAACATATCTTTGATTTAGTCATTTCTGCAGACATCAGTATCATGTGAAAACGTGAACAAAGAAGGACTCGGCCTAGCTTCCAGGTCTCACTCTTCAGCCTCGGATGACATTTCCAAGCACATACCTGGAACACCAGTCAAATGTCAAGACGAGCCACAGCACTATTAGAGCCCACTCTTTAATGTGAAACTGTAGAGAAGAAGTACTTTTACTTACTCTGGTCAGCATAGTTTTTTGCTTTGAGTTCAAGTTGTCTTGTTTGAGATTCTAAAGATTCCACTCGGGTCTGTAAATCCTTTTTTTCCTGTTCTTGAGAGTCTTCAAACTCAATGAATTTCTAATAGAAAAAGAAAAGTATTATTTTCATTAGAGAAATGAACATTTTTTAACATTATCCACTCCTGTGTCTCTTGGTATCAAGAATCACAATTAGGCATTAACTACTCAGAAAGATCTCAGAATCAGGAACTTAGGTTGAGTTTTAGTTTCTCTATAAAAACATCCAAATATAGAAGGAAAAAGATGACAAAATAGTTCATGAAATGCTTCCACTTCATAGAATAGGCATTCCAAAGAAAATACATATGTCTTCCTCTAAATTTATGAATTCTTTAGTATATTTGCATATTCATCTGAGTTAAAGACAATTTTTTACATATTGTTGTACAGAACATGTACAACAAATGGAGAACTAAAGAATGATGACGTGTCAATAAATATTTGTTCAACAATAGTTTGATTAATGATTCTAGATTACCTGAACTATGGAGTTTAAATTACTGAGAAAAAGAGCACTTATTAGAAATAACTTCACCAATAAAATTCAATTTACTGAAACTGTTCTCATCAAGAAGATTATCACTATATCTCAGACATCATCTTAATCGTTCTATCAGTATCATTTGACATCTGATCACTCACTCCTTAAAACTTTTTTTTTTTTTTTTTTTTAATTTGGTTTCCAGGACTTTGTTTTCCTTCTACTTTACTGGCTGTTCCTTCTTGGTCTTCTCTGTTGGTTCTTCCTGTTCTCCCCAATTTCTTAACATTCCCAAGCCCAGTCCCTGGACAACTTTTTCTCTTCATTGTTTACTCTTATTCCCTGATGACCTCATCCAGTTCCATGGCTAACTATACTAACTATATGCTGACAACCTCCAAATTTCAAGTCCAGTCCCTAGGCTAGACCTCAATTCCAGGTTTGCATGTCCAACTGCCTACTGAATAACTTCATCTGAATGTCTAATAAGCATCTTAACCTTAACAAGTCAAAGCTTGCTTGTCTTGGTCTTACCTAGTTCATTTAATCACTGTGGTCAATTGCTCAGACTCAAAACTTGAGTGAGCTTTGATTCTTCTCTTTCTCTTTCACCTCATATCCAATCCATTAGCAAATCTACTTTCAGATCCAACTACTTTTCATCATCTCCACCATCATCTATTGCCTGGATTAATGCCACAGCAACTGCCTCATAACTAATGTCCTTACTTCCACCGTTGCCCCTACAATGCATTCTCAACACAGAAGTTAGACTGAACCTCTAAAAAGCAAGTCAGATGGGGCGCCTGGCTGGCTCAGTTGGTAGAGCATGCAACTCTTGATCTCAGGGTCTCCAGTTCAAGCCCCATGTTGGGTGTAGAGACTACTCAAACAAATAACTAAATACTTAAATATATATACAAAAGTCAGATCAGTTTACTCCTCTGCTTGGGGTGCCTGGGTGGCTCCATCAGTTAATCTGTTTCAGATTCTGTCTCCTCTCTGCCCCTTTCCTGTCACACGGTCTCTGTCTCTCTCAAAAATAAATAAATATTTTTTTAAAAAGTTTACTCCTCTGCTCAAAATCCTCAGATTACTTACATTCTCCCAATGTCCTTAACATAGCCTCCCAGGACCAACACAATCTACCATACCCTTACTTTTTGACATCACCCTCTTCTACTCTCCTCTCCCCACCCCACCTCCCTCACATTCTCTAATAGAAACTTCCCTGAAGAACCTTTGCACTTGCTACCTACAGCCTAGAATTCTCTTCCTCCACATATCCAATTGGCTTGTTCCCTCCTCACCTCCTTAACATCTTTGTTTAAATGTTACCTCCTTGGGGCACCTGGGTGGCTCAGTCGGTTAAGCTTCCAACTTCAGCTCAGATCATGATCTCACAGTTGGTGAGTTCGAGCCCCACTTTGAGCAACATGCTGAATGCTCAGAGCCATTTCTGTGAGCTCAGAGCTTCGGTTTCTGTGTCTCCCTCTCTCCCTTTCCCTCCCCTGCTCATGTTCTCTATCTTTCCCAAAAATAAATAAAATTTAAAAAATAAATAAATGTCATCTTCTAAGATTTTCCATGTGGTATTTAAAACTGCAGTACACACTCCCTACCTTCCTCTCAGCTTTGCTTCTCTCCAGCACTTACTCTCAACTAACATACCATAAATTTCAGTAATTATCTCATTTATTATCTGCTTTGCCTCACTGGAATGTAGACTCCATGAGGGGAGGGATTTTTGTTTTCTTTGCAGCTGTACTCCCTGTATAAACAATGATCATGGCTCAAATATTTGTTAAAGTAATAAATGAATAAACAAAATTGTAAAAACTTTCAGAGTAAAAAACTGAAGCCCATATAGAAAAATGTATAGTTCGCAAGAAAACTTAAGATATCACTAAATACATCCTAGTTTTAATATGAAATTTCTTGTGCATTACTTATCTGATCTGAAACTTTTCAGTCAATACAGTGGGCACTGGTTTTTGTCTGCACACACTGCCCTCCTTTGTCACTCCTTTTCAGTTTCATGCTAATTCTATTCAGTCCGTACACTTCGATTGGTGATGACTCCATCTCCCTAGAGTTTGGCATATGACTTGAGCCAGACAGGTCATTCTTCTCCAGGATGCCTGCCAGTTATTAGAAAGAATACTACCTCTCGTCCTCTGGATCGCCAACTCTGAGAATTTATCAGCAGGCTTAAGCTGCTGAGGGATATCTTTTTTCCCAAAATATGGAAAGAACAAGCCTGAGAAATATAGCCAATAATAAAGGAAAACAAAGAGAAAGGAGGAATAAAATCCTCATCAATGGTACTATTTGAGTCCTAGATTCAGTAGTTCTTGGAGCCAGCATTTTCCAGTCGTTTTCATTTTTCCTGCTACATAAACTGATGCATTCCTATTTTACATAAGCTTGGTTGAGATGGTTTCTATCACAAGAAACTGGAAGAATCCTAATACAGTCATCTACTTTCCTTCAAGAGCCATTTGATTTCCTTATATTGGATAACGTTTTCCTGATCTTTGGAAGCTTGAAACCTACAAGCTCGGGAACATTGGTTCTTAATCATTCAGAGGTCCACAGACCCATCCGTGAACCATGTTTCCCCAGAAAAACTGCCTGCACCCAACCCGAATTCTGCCCATTTTTCCCTGGGAATCAGGGATCCTTTGAGTCCTTCCATAAAGCACACATTTAGCACCCATGCCCTATACATTTCTATGAACATATTCCATATTTGTGAGGCTTCTGGAAAGCCTCACACAGCCACTGTTTGCTTCTCCAGAACACTAATCTAAAGATGACCCTAAGTAGAAGGGATAAAGATTATATTAAATTAAATGTAAGAAAAGAAGCAACTGGACAAATCATTCATTTATTCATTTATTCATTCAAAAAATGTCTCCTAGGGGCACCTGGCTCTTTGTCTCGGCTCCGGTCATGATCTCATAGTTGGTGGGACCATCCCCATGTCACGCTCTGTGCTGACAGCTCGGAGCCTGGACCTTGCTTCCGATTCTGTTTCCATCTCTCTGTGTCCCTCCCCTGCTCACATTCTGTCTTTCTCTCAATAATAAATTTTAAAACATTAAGGGGCGCCTGGGTAGCTCAGTCGGTTAAGCATCCGATTTCCGCTCAGGGCATGATCTCATGGTTCGTGGGTTCGAGCCCCGCCTCGGGCTCTGTGCTGACAGCTCAGAGCCTGGAGCCTGCTTCAGATTCTGTGTCTTCCTCTCTCTCTGACCATCCCCCGCTCACGCTGTCTATTCTCTCTCTAACACAAATAAATAAAAACATTAAAAATTTTTTTTAATTTAAAAACATTAAAATTAAAAAAAAAAAAATCCTCCTATTTACTCTGTGCTGGGCACATGGAACATGGAGCACCACCCCATCCCGGCCTCCTGACAGCATTCAGTGGCTACAAATTGAATGCAAACAGAAGATATAATGGTTATGTTGAACAGAAAGCAGCAGCTATATAACAGGATGTTGGTGATGAAGTCTGTATAAATTATTTCAACATTTTTCCAGGGGATATAAGCAAAGACTAAGAATTAATAAGAAAATGTAATTATTTTCTGGCCTGCTTTGAATATGATGCTCCCTGGACTAGCTGAACTGCTATATCTGGGTTAAGTAAGCAGAAAATTTAGGCTTCTTTTATGCTATGGATAAAATGTTGTTTTAATTTTTTAAAAATGTTTTTATTTATTTTTGAGAGAGAGAGACGGTGTGAGCAGGGGAGGGTCCGAGAGAGAGGGAGTCACAGAATCCGAAGACAGGCTCCAGGTTCTGAGCTAGATGTCAGCACAGAGCTCGACAGGGGGCTTGAACTCACAAACCGTGAGATCACAACCGGAGCCAAAGTCGGATGCCTAACCGACTGAGCCACCCAGGCGCCCCATAAAATGCTGCTTTAAAGAACATATAGTAGATGTTTACCAAGTAACATTTAAAATGATGTGCTACTGAACTTCTAACTAAAATCTTTACCACTAACAGACTGGTAGTTGCCAGGGGCAGGGGATGGAAGTAGGGGGAAATTGTGAAGGTGGTCAAAGGGCACAAACTTCAGTTATAAGATGAGTAAGTTCTGGGGACGTAATGTACAGAATGGTGATTATAGATAACAACACCACTAAACTATACATTTGGAAGCCGCTAAAAGGAGACTTTTTTAAGTTCTCACCACAAAAACAAAAACAAATTATGTGACATGATGTTAACTAACCTTACTTGTGGTAATCATTTTGCAACATATTCATGTATCAAATCATTATAGGGGATTGGTGGCTCAGTGGGTTGGGCATCTAGCCTTTCGTTTAGGCTCAGGTCATGATCTCACGTTTGGTGGGATCGAGCACCGTTTCAGGCTCTGCTCTGACAGCCTGGAATCCGGCATAGGATTCTCTCTCTCTCTCTGCTGCTCCCCCGCTCACACTTGCTGTCTCTCTCAAAATAAATTACCATTTTAAAAAAATCATTATACTGTGCACCTTAAACTCTCATGTTATGCACCAATCATTTCTCAATAAAGCTGGGGAAAAAAAGCTTTACCA